AATTAATTAATTTATATAATTATATTAAAATATTGGGTCAAAGAGTAATTATCTTAAATATCTATTAAAGATAAGATCGAATTTATGAAATTAGTTAAATGAATCTACGGAATGATTCGGCCTGGCCAACACGCGTCTATCTCCCTATATATAGGGAGAGGGTAATCTGAGTGAAGGAAGAAAAGGAAAAGAAAGAAGAAAGAGAGAAAGGAAAGGAGAGGAAGGAAAGGAAGAAAAGAGAGGAAAGGAAGGAAAGAATAGTGGAAGGTGAAAGGGTCTTTAATGATGAAAATAAAGAGTAAGGTATTAAAGTTAAGGTGAGTTATATTATATCTTGAGTTACCAAAATGTATTTTACTTATGTTTTAACTTACCAAAATCTATTTTATACAAGTTATATTTTATTAATATATTTATAAAAGTTACCTTTTATAAAGGTTTCAGTTACGTGGTTTTATTTCTGAACCCTATTTGCTTAAAAGGAAATCCATGGATGTGTTTGTTTATATTTTAAAGAATATTTGGTTATGACCTTATATGAAAATATGTTTTGTAAGTACCACCACGGGAGTCCCATGCCGTGGGGGACTTAAATAACCATTGGCTTAGTGAGTCCCATGCCTTGGGGGATTTAAATAACCATTGGCTTAGTGATTGACCACTTTGTGGTCCAGTGTTTGTCGTGGATCCATTGACCAGTGTACCGTGGTTATGGTTGTATAGTGATTTCCGTATTACAAGTATACGTCAAATGATTTATGCATTATGTATGCTATGTATCAAGCTCTTTTGGCCCAACTAATTATCCATGGTGAATTTATACCTTATACTCTTGGTATAATATTTCTCACTCTGCCATGAGCTTATAGTTTTTTTACCACTTTCAGGTGACATGTCAGGACCAGCGTATGGAGTAGGCACAAAGCACTTTTATTGATGTATTTTTTTTAAGTAAATATCGGCCTTTTTGGTCAATACCTTCTGTAATAAAAATAGAAGCTCCAATGATTATTTTAGTACCCTTATTTAAATATTTCTTCCGCTTGCGTTTATTAAATTGTTTAAAGATTTGGCCGGAGGTAACCTCGGTTACTGGCCATCACGATGCCTAACCCTTGGGTACGGGGAGCGGGTCGTGACATCTTGCGCTCGAGCAAGCGTGTGCGTCTGTAAAACTTCTGAAGCTTTGTATTCTACGCTCGAGCGAGGCTTCTTGTGCTCGAGGGAGGTCACTTGTTGTGTCTGATCACTTGAACGACAACTCCTTCGCTCGAGCGAAGGTCGCGTATATCAGTTCGCAGCTGGGTCCTTTTCCTTCACTCTTTGATTTCTTTTCATCCCAAAACCCTAATTCGGCACACTCTCTCTCTAAAACTCTCTCTCTCTCTCTCTACAAATACTCCATGATCTAGGCCTTGATTTGGAGATCTCTCAACCCTAGTCCCTTTATTAAAAAGATAGAGCATCTTGTGGGCTTCCATTTTATCCGAGCAAAATCGAGTTCGAGCATCTTTGAGACTTATTCCATTTTTCCTTTGAACTTCTACACTTGAGGTAGGGATGTTCTACTCTTTAATATGGGTTTAAACCTAAGTATTTGTCATTTTGTATAAATTGTGGAATTTAGGAAGATTTGGGTAAAGTTAGGGTTTGGGTTCTAAATTTAAAAGAGGGGCTTCCATATTGGGTCCCATGAATACATATTTGGGGTATTGAATAAGAGGTTACATGGGTTAAAATGATGAAATTTAACCTTGAGTTTGATATTTGAAAAAAGGGGAAGATTGCCTTAATTTGTGTCAAATAATTATTTTATAGACATGGGGAATATGAAATTGAAAGGATGTATAAATAGATGGTGTAGTTGGATTTGTTAAATCACTTACCTATGAAAATTTGATAAATTATCTATTTGATAGATTGTATATATGTTTAGAAATATATGTTTTGGGCTATCGGTGGAGGATAGCTATGATTGTTGTAGAAACTGCATGCGGATTAAGAGAATTGAAACCTATCATTTAATTTACTTCATTGAATATGTTGGTATAATTGAGATATTGAAAATGTGTAGTGAATTGTAACGCCCCGAAATAATACAACATGAACTACCCACATTAATGAACATTTACTAAACAATAACGATAATCCTTTCATCTTCACATATTTAATAAATGAGTTTAATACAAAAGTTCCACATGCGATATACATTCAACGAAACAAAAAAACCTATGAATCTATAGCATGTGAAGCATCTAATCTCAAAACAATAAAATGCCCTTAAGGACTTACATCTTCCAAGGCAATGGCCCGGTTATACAAAAATGGTCTCTCGAACCCATACACATTTAGCCCTTGGCTTACAAAAATTTACAACAAAAATAAGAAAGTTATTTACTCTTCACGAAATATCCACGCCCTCAATTCGGCGGAATCACCACATTTTTACCTGCACCAAATCCCATAGGTATGAGCATAAAGCCAGTAAAGAATTCTCATAAAGTATATACAGTTATGCAACTCTCAATAAAAAAATGCAAATGCCCATGCCATGCCATGCTCTTTTAAAGAAAATTCATTTCATGCTCTTCCTGAAGATTTCCATATTTGTTTTCAATTGAAGCTTACAATCACAACACATTTCAAAACTTCCAATTTTAACCAATAAGGGCGGTAAATACGACACTGGTAATCCCTAAGCTGGTGTCTGCAAGTAGACTCTACAAGTACTACCAAATTGTCATTTTTACCGGTATTAACCGGAAGGCTCGACACCTATCCGCACGGGTTTCTGGTCTTTCACCATGGACACTTAGGCCAACTTATCAAATTCAACTACACCCCCTATCCGGACTTACCACGTATTTACCCCATTCACATTACCATAGTTCTCATTACAACATAATCTTTCTCTAAGTAATCGTTTTCCAATTCGTTTCAGGATGTGCAATAATGATACTAAATCAAATGAGAACATGATGCAATATATAACTTCTCATAACATTTCTCCATCTCAAACATCTCTACAATAATGTCCACAATCACATTTCCCATTACCTCTTTTCAATGCTCTTCCTCAAGATAACCATATGTTATCTATACTTAGCCACAATTTCACTTTTCACAATTCTTAGCAATATAGTCTCATCAAGACTACATGTGATGTTGTCAAACGTTAATTTTCAATGTTTATAATTCTCACAACTCCATAATGCACCACAATTATCATCTTACACATAAACATTTCCATGCATCCAACAATAGTTTTAAAGATAAGTCCTTCACTCTCTTATCAAGAAAATTATCATTTCTTTATACCACATTGTGAAATCCACACTTATTGACTCATTTAAACACAAGAAAAGAAGAATTTCATAGTTGTTCTCATGTTTTCTAAAACCCCTCAATTTCTTGGGTTCTTTCTCAAGAAACCAAAACACCTCCCATTTCATGTGAA